GCAGGAATTGATACTTGTTTCTTCAGGCTAAATTGTCTGAATCAGAGTCAAAGCCATGGGATGTAATTTAACAGTAAACAGGTCAAGGCTTGTTATTTAATTTTATTTTTCTCTAATAATCTTGGGAATTATTGGCAGGTTAAAACAGAGGAGGCACAAGATCAGAATACATAGATTACAGTGATCCAGCCATGCATAAAATGGAGCATAAACCGGGCATAGAACAATGGCATTTTCAGAGCTATTACAGCATTGATAAGGTTACACCTCAAAATATTAGTGCAATCGTATTAGATCATGGTGTATCAGTCTGTTCACCATCTTGCAAGCATCAGAGGATTATCCTAAGGGATTTACTCTACTCCAGGCTACCTATGAAGGCGTCAATATATTTAATTAAAAAGGGCAATGTGACTGATTGTCATCAAATCCTTTATGTTAGTAAGAACTGCTACTTTTGAGATTCATGACCAAGAAATCAAAATGCCCCAGAGAAGTGTCTTTGATTTTATGTTTTCAAGATAGCCTGACCGTTTTCAAGGAGCATTTACCTTTTACCAGGTCCTTCCTCAATCTTACTGGAAAAAAAAAAAAAAATTGCAATATTAATTATTCACTTTCTCACTATCTCACAACAATAAAAAATAAACTCTACCAGTCAAAAGATCTGGAATGCTAGTTCTGTAGAACAACTAATTCATTTTAACAGACAGTTATTTCAATACCAGAAGACCTTAGAAGTACCCAAAGAAAAAAAGAGCTATTGGAACAGCAACCATTTACTGAAGATACCCTTCTATAACCTCACATCTGGAGAAATGCTAGAAGCAAGGAGAAATTCCACATACAAATAGGCAGGCAGATAAATAACCGTTTGTGTTGGATTCATCAGCTGATGTTGATATTTCAGTATATATGTATATTTTTTATTCTTGTCTTGAGGAACAGTTGAGTGAGCTCTGGAGCCACACAAGCCATTGACTGCATTGTTGTATTGGAGTCTACACCGCAGGAGAGTGCCCCAATTTGTCTATGCAAACAACGAGATCTGTCTATGAGTGAAAGAAGCAAAGCTTCCTGCTTAAGCCGCAGTGGCAATACTCAGAGCTGAGCAGTGTCCAAATACCCCCACTTCACCCTGGTGAAGCTCTGAAAAGCAGAAATACTTAAATATTGATCATGCCTGTACTATTATCACACCTATAAAACTGCTTCCAAGACCATTGCTGGCTCAGAAGCATAAATTTTTCTCCTAAAATATGTTGATGTGGGTTTTTATTTAGCTTCTTCATTACTCACCTGCTTTACGGGATTGTGTAAAACTACCTGGAAAAACGAAGAAAAGTTTTAGGTTTTTTTCATCTTTTAAACAACATGTCTATTGAGTGTATTGAAGTATAATTTCAAACTTTCTTATTTTAAAATGAGAATTTTTTCACAAAACCACTATTCTAAAAGCTAAAATCATATTCTATGCATGTAAATATCTGTGATTATCCAAAATGGCTTCTCATAGGAGCGACCTCCCTGTAATAGATTCTCTGTACATTCACACACATGCAGCCCCCACCTATACTCTACTTTTAACTATACATCTGCTACTTTTTTCTCTCTCCCTCTCATTCCCATATGTTTCTTTCTGAATCTGATGTTAAAATGTTATTTAAGTTTTCATTAACTGTGTTTTGCATTGTAGATGAAGACTGCCATATCAACTGTTGTAGCTGGAAATACTCACTGTTTAGTTTATAACCCACAGCAACAAGAACTGCTATATTAAGAAATAAAATTACGAGGAAGGCCGTCATCCAAGGTGAAGTGGAAGGAAAGAAGACATCTGTAAAATATAAATGGTGTTACTTTCACTGAATGTTTGTGAAATATCTATGACAGGCTGCAGTGGCTAAAACATATCTGTCTAATGCCATTTTATTTGCGGTAATGTATCATTCACTGTCTCCTCCCACCACCCCTAAATGCTGCAGGTCTCCCCTGAATCCCATCCCACCCATGTGCTGTGCTGCCAGCTATTCGAGGCCATCAGAGATGGTATTAGATGACTGCGTTCAGGCAATGAACCTGTGCTCCTACACTGCGTACACCCATGCTCATTCAGACTCAGATAGCCATGGGTAGAGGCATCTTTGGAGATGCGACCTCTTTATGAGGGAGATGTGCTCAGCAGCCCACCTCTGAGGCCAGTATTTGCACTGTTGAACCACAAGATGAAGTTTTCAGCAAAACAGAACTGTCTTCAGTGGCATTTCAGATGGGATAAAAGAAAAAAAAAAAGGAACTGACTCTTCCCCTTTTGAAATAAAATTACCTACTTTCCAGACTAGGAATCCAACTAGGGGGAAGCACATACTGAAACTCAGAGTAATCATGGTGCTGTTAGGGAGAGAAAAAGGGATGGAAGCAGACGTTCAACATTTCCCATCAGCATACTCCAGCTGCCTCAGGACATGGTGCTGGGTACCCTGGTAGCATTGTATAGGGCCTTTGCTCTCCCCATTGAAACTTCTAAATCCATCCCTCTCCTAACTGGCACAGTGTTATCAGGTGGCAGCTAACAAGAGCTCTCCATTAGTATATATAGCTAAGACGTAACAAGTAACGAATGTAACAAGTAATCTAAGACATAAAGATGGATTCC